ATAATTTCCTTTATTCTCATTACATTAATATGTGATTCAATGGTGATATTGTAAGGAGAAATAAGATGCTATTAACTCTGAGGGGTTAAAGGGTTAAAATAAACATTTCTGTCCATTTTGGTTGAGCCATGTTCATCTTTAAGGCTCGGTAACAGTTATGTATTGTGCAGTTTTCGTGTGTCTTTATCACCACGAAAAGGTAGATGAAATTTCTTTCTAAAACCAAATTTCTTACTCATTCCTGTAACTTTGGTTCAGGTAGATTTAAGTTACTTATAAGGTACTGAATCTGATAATTTTATTTTTTAAATTATCACTTTCCAGTCAGTTCAGCTTTTTTAATTCCTGCTTGTAAATTTGTTTCGTATCACGCTTTCCTTTTCTCTCGAAAGTGTTGATAAAACAGCTATCCTACTGGCAAAATTTCAACCAGAAGGTCTTTCAAAAGTTATGCTTTTTGGGTGCATCTCTGCGCTAAATTCAGCTAGATTTGCGGGCCATTTCTATCCCTCATTTCCTTAATTAAACACCATGTAACACTTTGACGAGGGTTATACTAAGGAAAGGCTAAAAATCAGTTGCAGGTGACCAAGAGAACAGTTTTACGCGGAACTGTTTACCATCTTTATTCCTCTCTTAGTCGCCCTAGACGATTTAGAAAGTGGGTTATTAACTGGCAAAGATCATGTGCTGCCTGAGCATTACCTATGATTATTGACCCTCTCATGTAACATTCGGGAAAAACTAGATTTTATTATTCATTTCCCCCTCTGTTCATGATATTGTTAACTTTATCAAATTTCCGCGTTCGGATTCACTTCTCGTTTTCGAAAACATAACTCACATACGATATATCAGAAAAAGCGCAGGATGTTCGAAAATGTCTTGAAAGGTGAACATGAATGCTTTTTCCAATCTGCCATCATCCTTGTAAAAGAGCAAAAGCTGATAAAACAATTGCGATGTTTTCAGTTTTAACTATTAATAACGCCGTTCTTGCTTTTAAAAACACCAAATGAGGGAAGAGCCGACACTAGACGCAAAAAAAAATTTTTGCAAAATAAGATTTTCACGATTTGCTATCCATCGGAAATCTGCTACATGTATAACGCTGATAGCCCAAAGGATAAGGAAACAGCGGGATATTACTGGGGAATATTCCCTAGGTGACCCTTCGGACCAATTTCCAGATCGAAGTGATTAAGGTCTATGTTGAAAATGTATCTCAAGATAAGAGAGTGTTTTTTTTTTCAACAGAAGAAGAGACAAACTTTCCTGTTGCCAAGGCCTTTTAAGTGAACACTAAAAATTCAACATCGACCGCCGTCAAAAAAAAAGTGACATTTGGTTACTTGAAAACGGTTTGCGCTTCACAGTAAAAACAAATATTTAACGAGTAGACATCACAGTCGTTTCTATCTTTAAAGATGATCTCAGGTTAGAATGCCAAAGTTTTCCTCGAGGAAAAACACATTTAGCCCCTCGGAAAGGATGCATGAACACATTTTATTAGGAATGGTAGCAATAGTGCATTGCATGGAAATCGAATGCAACACCTTTCGAAAACAAATTGTCATCCAAACAAAAAATGTTTTTTTAGGCTTTGTTCAAAATGATGCTATCAACATACGATTCATAGATTGACTTAAAGATTGAAAGCCTAAGAACCCTGTTGATAAAAGACCCGTGGAAACTGACAGAGTGACAATACATGTTGATTTTTTTAACTGTTTATTTGGTAAACATAACATTTTCAATCCAAAGTCAAATTAGGATTATCTTGCGTCCCCGTCTCAATCATCATTCTTGTCATTTACAGATGAAAGGAAGAAGTTAATCTAAGTGTTACTGTTTTAGATAGGTAAAGGCACCTGAGATACCACCCGTCAAAACATATAACACTCATTAGTAACTACTTCTGTTGATACTGACTTCCGCGCTTTGATCATCGATCAATCACTTACCATTGTTGTTATCCCTAATGAACATGCATTAATTTTATCTTTTTAGATAAAGAGGCGCTGTGATTCGCGCAGATGTTTGCATTAATAAGAGAGACGAGATTTCTCCGAGAAAGCTCGTTCGCCCAAGGTTTTAGGAACGTGTATATCGAAATTTCTCATGAGAGGGTTTAGTTTTTCATACTAACTGAGTTTCAATTTCTTCTTTATCATAGCTACAGAAATTTGATTGGAGTGATTTGTTTCGGAATAAAGAAAATTAATGGAGGCTTTCCACAACAACACAACAGGAAGCTCCACACATCCTACGGCTATGCCTAATCATTCAATGGAGATTGTTGAGGCTGTGAAAATAGTTTCTTTTTGGCTGATCATAACCGTTGGTGTCATTGGAAACTCGTTGGTTATTGTTGTTGTGAAAATGTTTCGCAGCATGAGAACCACCACCAACTACCTCCTGGTGAACGTAGCTGCTGCAGACATTGCCACGCTGTTTTTTACAGCAATCCTGTTCTTGATAACCACGAGGTACAGTGCTGCTCATTCTGGGGCATTTGCAAGTTTTGTCTGTAAATTTTTCTTCACTAATAGTATCGCGATTATCACGCTACTGGTAACTGCCCTCACGTTAACAATCTTGGCCTTCGAAAGATACCAAGCTCTGGTTAAACCATTTTCAGTAACCGGTAGACTGACCATTGACAGGATTGCTTACGTTATAACTGGAATCTGGATGGTTGCCGTTGCCTTAGTTATTCCTTTGCTATCTACCTTCCATTGGGATCCAAAAGATTATCTTTGTTCTCTCGGAGATGAAGAATATGAAATGATGGTCTACATTGATTGCTTGGTTGTCATTCTCACATTAGTCCCATTTTCTTTGATCGCATTCTTCTACTCTCAGATCGTTTATGGAATGTATTTCAAGAAGACAGTTTGCGGAAGCAAAGGCGAAAGATGTGACACACGAGAGGAAACGAGAGAAAAAAGAAAACTAGTGACATTGCTGATCTTGCTTACTGTCGCGTTTTTCGTAGCTTTCATTCCTTATGGAGTTCTGCTCATCTTAAAAGTGAGTAAAGTGAACCACTCATTCTTGTATCTCCAAACTGGTTCAAAGTATCTTACTTTAATGAACTGCTCGATAAACCCTTTTATCTACGCATTTCAAAGTTCTGATTATAGACTGGCATTCAAGGTCATCCTGAAGAAGATGTTAGGTCGTGATACGACTGAGGAACGTTCTGAACTGCTCGAAAGGCGTACCCGTACATCTGTTGGCAGAGTCGCAACTACAGTGTGAAGCAGTCTTCTTCCGACTGAGAGATTTGTTACTGATAGTATTTACAATAATGTTTCTCGAATTAACCCAAAATCAGAGAAAGCCTTAAGATATATTAATATTTTTTGGCTGTAAATCATACGTTTCCTTGTAAAGATCTCAGCGTGGATTGTAAATACACAATTTCCATTTTGAATGGGCTGTTCAAATCTATTAAAAATACTTTAAGTAAACGGAAAGTCCTATGAATACCTTAATCGAGATCCATCGAATCAATTGTCCCATAAGAGAAGAAATTAACAGCTTCCTGAACTTCAAAGTTAGCCTTATTTTAACCATACCCACCTCAAGAAAGCAACGGGGGTCGGTGTATAAAGAAAACTACTGAGGATGCGAAATGCGATCAAAAAACCCTCCCAGATCATAACAATCACATTTTGCCCTTGCTAAAACATAACCACGAAACCTTGACACTGTCTTCTGACAAATCCACTCGTTGATATCCTCCTTTTTTCTTATCATGCACCTTTCTTGTTGAAACTGAGTCGATATTTTAAGGAAAAACTCATTTTTGGTTACTTACGGAGCCGGATTGAATAGATTGGGTTCTGATCAGTACAAAAGCATAGTGCTCATAATAAAATGCCAAGGGCACTATCAAACCGTATGATGCAAATTCAAAGTTATAGTAAAAAAGAAAAACAAGTATACTCTATAGAAACAGAAAATCCTCACGTAAGATAAAAAATCAAATGATATCTATTCCAAGTATTTATCGAGCAGGTAAATGTTTCTTTGTCATTCAAGATGCAGGACGTTCGATATGTCAAAAAAAAAAAACGCTTACATAAGTATCAAAGAAATAGGCAGAGAAAATTGAATATTGTGGCCGAGTGTGTTTCATCCAATTAATCTTAACCACTCTTGTGGGGGATGTTAAAATATATCAGACGTAGCTTAAAGTTTAAATCCAGGAGACATTATCATGGACAACTCTCTTAGGAGATGGATACCACATCTGGATTGTTAGCTTGTTGAATAATATTTTTGGAGGATTAAGCCGTAGCAAATCCAGATTATACATCCACTTACTATTTGCTCAAAGTCGCATTTATATACTTATAAGTTTCCTTAACAATTTTTCCCCTGAAAAGATTCTCTTCGTATTGTTTACAGCTAGATTTTGATAAAGGCAATTTGTCGGGGATAAAGTTTTCTCATAAAAAAGCCAATTTTCTCCTAAAAAAATTAAAGTTACCACAGCTAAAGTTAATAACAATGAAAATTTTTTTCTTGATAGGTTTACTGAAAGAACGTTGAAGATCTCTACCCTCACTGTCACAAATCAGTTACCAGATGTTTGGAAATACACAAAATGACGCAAAAAAGGGCATCAGTTGAATATAAATTTACTGAAACCAGGCATTCTAGGCACGCCAACAAGAGATTTTTTCATTTAGATGAATAGCTTGAATCTTTTTAAGCAGGCTTCATTGTACTTTATTCATTTTACAATGCTGCTTTCACTAAAATATGTTTTTACAATACATTATTGAGACATCATTTGGTTGCTTAGTTAAATGGCATTTAACGTTAGCTTTAACGAGTAATAGCTTAAATTTATTGGCTTGTCCACTGGTTGGTCTATAAGTTCACTCATCTGCGTGCGTTAAAAGAACCGGATAAGGTAAACGATATAAATGAGGTATACTTTAATAACACGATCGCCTTTCAAATGTTCCGTGATCATCAAAGTGCTAGCGTTCGTCTGCCACACCCCGTCTTGTGTCCAGCTGGATGGCATTAACCTCTTCCGTGATGTCTTGGCAACACATTTTCTTCAACATACATTTAAAGCAGTATCTATAATTTGAACTTGGAACGGCATAGATGAACGGATTTAGAGAACAGTTTAAAAGTGTCAGATATTGCACTACAATCCTAAATCGACTAAAGATACGAAGTTCTTCAACATTTCTGGTGGCCATCCCGCTGAACTGCAATACTACTGCTACTCCATAAGGAACAAACGCAATGAAAAAGACGACTGTCAACACCATGAGAACTATAACAAGCCTCTTTTTTTCTGCCATTGCTTCGCTACCCCGACTGCAAATTGTTTGTCCAAAATACAATCCGGATATAATCCGCGAATAACAGAAAGCAATGCCAAGGAACGGGATCAAGGTAAGGAGGGTCACCAGGCAATAAATGTACACTTTCATCACCGCATGATCATCACCAGGGGAGCAGAGAGTATTGTTTATGCTAGGGCGCTGGTCCACAGACACGAAAAGCGGCGAGACAGTAGCCATGGCTATCAGCCAGATTACTGCTAAGACGTACCCGATCTTTTCGATTTTTAATCTCCAAGATATTTTTAAGGGTTTCACCATGGCTTGATATCTGTCAGCAGCCAAAACCGTCAGCGTCAGAGTGGACACAAGAAGCGTTACCATAGTGATATTGTTAGTTCTTATAAACTTACAAAGGAAGCTACCAAGAGCACCATTTGGGAAGGGACCCTTGATTGGAATGAGGTGCATCGCTGTGAACAACAGAGTGGTTATGTCTGCAGCGGCCACGTTGACAAGAAGGTAATTGGTTGTCGTCTTCATGCGACGGAAGCCTATTACTGCAGCTACAATTAACGAGTTACTAAACAGTCCAAGAATTATGATGATCCCAGCAACCACCTTTGGTGCCTGCGATTCTGACCCATCGGGTTGCCCCGCTGTCGGTTCGAGGCTCTCAGACATACTTTGTGTTTTTGTCCTTTCACATAACGGTTAACTTTTGCTATTCCTAAAACAACAGAAATGTGCCATAATGCACCATATTAGGCATCGTAAAAAGCAACATTATCTCTGAATTTTGACACCTGTGTCTTGCGACAATCAATTTGCCGCTGTTTGACTTCACCGCCACATGATGCTAATCACTTTATCAACCTGAAACGCTGATTATTTTACAGTACGCAACCAATATTTTTTGTCAGACTAGTTATCTGCCTTATGATGCATTTCAAATCTCCACTGTTCTCTCAAAAAGATCATGAAGAACTTAACCCAGCTTTTATTACAGTGTTAAAAGACTAAAAACTAAAAGACTGTTAGACTATTGGAGTATATCGCCACTTTCAAGAAGAATTAAACCCAGCCTTTGTTACAGTGTTTCAAAACAGTTTATGGTTACTGAAAGACCGTGAGACGATGACGGCATATCGCCACTTTCAACAAAAAGATAAAATTTGCACCATGATAAAACATTACATATGTGCTAAAGCATTTTCCCTGAACAATTTTGTTGGGATGCTGGTAATTTGTGGCACACTCACAAACAAATATATGGTATCAAAGAGAAACAGATAGCAAATCAGTTTAATTTCAGATCTTCTAAGCCTACCCTTACATTTATCAAGGAAAACCTAACATTTTCCATGCACCCTTTAAAATGGTTGGACAAATCTTCAGATTCCCATTTCATTCAGCCGTCTCACAGTCTCCTCTTTAAAATGACCCATGCAACGACGATTATCTGCCATGTGCAGTCTTTTTTCACGTAATCACTATACGGTCATTAACGAAGCATTTGAGATTTCAGAGAACATAACAACGAGTCATTAAAAACGAAAATATTAGTTCATTTTCCCCATGCATCGAAAAAGATTCGACCAAAAAATGTTGATAAATAAACACACTCTTATTGTCGAGAGTATACCAAATAATGAAAAAACAATAGTATTTTTTTTGCGGTAGTTTTACGGTAGATCTTTGTATGAAATGTAATAATTATTTCTACGGCTTTTTAGTCTGATTCGTATTTAAGTCTTCACCTCACCTTTAGTGATTATCAAGGAAGATTTCCTTTGCTTCAGGGAGACTCGTTTTTAGAACAAAAAGGATCTTCTTTGACACGACCACTGCGGAAAATTTTCTTTTTTCCAACGAAACGACAAAGTGATTAATATTTTTATGCGTTGTACTCTCTAAATTATAATGATTGGTTTTCGAATCAGTATTACAGGATTAAAAATTCTATAGAACTTTTAACAATGCTGACTAACGCTTAACGTGAGAGTAAATGTTTTTAATATCAGCTGGCGTTATTGACGGCAAATTGTGGAAGGGGGTAAGGGTGAGTATTCATCGTCAGGGTGGAGGGGGATTGGAGGATTTAAACATTTACCTGATCCCCCTCTAAGGCTCCGTAGTATTCTAATGATCTCCCTTCATCTTTAGTCAATTTTCTAGTCTCTCTTTATATATATTCTGTTAGCGACGACCAAATGGGACCATGAAGCAATAGAAATTTATTAAAATTAATGATTTTAACTCAAAAGGTGATTAAGCTCTTAGTTTGAATAATTTTTTTTCCTCTGAGGAAGCCGAATTAAAAACTTAAACATTTTTATAAAGGTACCGCATAGGCGTTCTAAGATAAAATTAAGCTCAGTATTAGAGGTCCGCTCTAATTAATTTCAACTTTGAAAAGATAAAAAAGCACTCTCTAGTATCAGCTTAATCCTAGCCGTTGCTTGTTTAGGATTACTATCTTAGCAAGATTATTTGCGAGTGACTGTTTTTTGGACATCTAAACAAGCCGAAGAATAATCCTATGTAGAAGATGTTAGAACTAAAAGACCCAAAATAAATTTTTGAATAACTCAATATAATTATAATTTTCTGAAATTTGTTTTGCATTTATGCGGATTACCGAAATTACCCTAAAGTTTGAGTCGAGTGATAATTACTTTGTTCCCGCATCTGGTGCTCACTGCAAAGCGTGAAAGTAATAATATATTTTTTCCTTTCAACTTCTTCTTTTGAATAAAATTTGTCACCGCTCACCTTCGCGATATCGAGACACTGAGAGGGACTTACGATATCTTTTATTTTGTGTAAGAAACAATAACAATGCGCAAGCTCGATTCCTTAGTTGCCTCTCTACATCCAGATTTAACAAACAAATCAAGCACTTCATTCCAACTATCTATTCTAAGTGGCAAGATTGTTAGAGTGTTGTAAACTGGAGCTTTTAGGCCGTTTGGTAATGATCAGTGTCAAATCAGATTGGGAAACTGTTTACAAAGGTAGAGCGTGGTTGAGTCGGATTTATTTCTAACTTTAATACGCATGAATTTCCTAGACTCATGACTATTCATCGTCTGACAACACAGCATGTCAAAAAGTTACAAAAAAAATTGATAGAAAGGGAAATTCACTTTGTGCAGAGGAACAATGTTCTAGCGTTGGAGAAATATTGACTTTGGATTGCTCTTGGACGAAGGAAACTAGGATCAGCAGATATTTTGGTTTTTTTTTAACAATCTTGAGCCGTCTGTCAGTATAATCTCCTGATTTATGATAATCATATTCCATCTTGTCTTATGTTAGGAAGTATTGTGGTGATTAAAATTAAGAGCTCTCTTCAAAACCTCCTGGCGTTGTGAGCATCCTGACTAAGTATTATCATTATCATCATAGATTATTATTAACGTTGCTGTCGTCATTCTCATACTAGTCATCATCATCGTTATTGTTGTCGTTACTGCTATTTTTATCGTTCAAAATGTAAACGACATTTCTACGTTCTTTCCAAAGAGATTGATTAAAAAAATAAGAAAAAAAAACAATTGCGAAATGAGACCTTTACCGTTATTTCCCCGGAATGTCTAATCGATAAAAGGTAATAAAATGGGATAACAACGCGAAGTATTTTAATTTTTTTTTTCTATTTACTCATTTTTCCTCGTGCTCTAATTATCGTGACTATAAATTCAGTTTTTGCCTCTTACTGTGGAGCATTATGTCAAATGAATCTCGACTACATGTCAAATTATTTTTAAAAGCTGAAAGTAAATATCTATTCCCCCAAGGAGACCAGAGGTGCAATTCAAGCGCACGGACACACTGATGTATCTTCTAGCAGCTCCGCACGCCTTGATTGCAAAATTTACCAGCCCGTTAAAATTAGTAAAGGACAGAATGGCGTTCACACTGCGGACGGCTACTCTCTTCCCTCCAGATCAAAAAAGGCCTTATGGAGGTCAAAATGGAAAGCAGGCATCCTGTTTATATAAAAATGGACGTCAAAGTTGTAAAAGCGACAAAAAAAGCTTTTTCAGGTTTTAATTATACATCCTTCTATTCTGAAAGGCAAAGCAAATCACGGACAAGACTGAAATGTAAAATGCTGTACTTATTAACTTCAGGCGATGACATCGAAGGTATACGGTATTTGGACAAGTTCTCAGCCCGGTAAATACTAACTTTAATTTTCATTTAACATCTTTTGCAAATAATTTTGAAATGAAGATCCCAGATCAATTTAAACCTCACTCATAATTTCAAAATCTACGCTGCGCAAACATGTTTGGTCAAATCAAGAAAACAAAGCTCATGCGCGTGCAAAATTATATTGCGAGGGCTTTCTACACGCAAATAAATTGGTGCGTTTTTTCCCCATAACGCTGAGCCAATTTTGCTTCTGTTTGAATAAAATTTCGAGAGATTATTTGGCCATGTTTTTTCTGCATTTAATTGATACTTAAGGGTAGACAGATTGTTGTGTGATCGAAAGAAATTTGCATAGTCGCGACCGTGTTTGCAAAATAATCGTGCGAAAAAAACTGAGCTTTTTGTTATTTTATTATCATCAGTATCATACAAATAACACTTGATATGGCAAGATACACATGCACGCAAGGGCGCATACAATTTGGATAATCTATTTAAACATTTTTATCTCTAAATTTAACTTTTATAATTTCTTTATCGTTTGTTTTGGAAGAAAATGATACATACAAATTCACCACGCAATGTACATGTTCTTCTCGTTTCTCAGAATTTCATATTTCACGGTTAAGGTAGACGGACCACTCGGGAGTTAATGGTTTAAGGCTATTCACTTTATCATTATCTCATAATATTTTACGGTTTTTAGATGGCACACATCAAGAAATTATAGTCTCTTGCACATTGTCTGAGGAAATTCCGAACTGAAAACGTCTTATAACCCAATTTATGACAGGCCGGTTTGGGTCGATGTTTATTGGAAAAAGACTGCTTGTACGAAGTTTTTCGCAGTATGGACCTTCCACTCGGTAAGCAATTGATAGATAGATATAGATAACAAGATCAAATAATTTCAGGGTTTTTTTGCTCTAACAATTTTTGGTAGGCTTCATCGTTTTAGTCAAGTTGCACGAAACCTCTTCCATGTTATTCCGAAAGACGAGATCAAAGCATTTCAGGATTTTCCTGCTCTTAAACAACTTCCGGTAGGCTTCTTCGTTTAAGACCAATAGCATGAACCTCCTCTCTGGTATTCCGAAATAATATTTTCTTGATGATGTACCTAAAGCAGCATCTGTAGTTGGTACTCGGGATTGCATAGATAAAAGGATTGGTGGAACAATTGAGAAGCGTTAAATATTGCACGGCGGTCTTGAAGCGACTAAAGATAACGCGTTTTTCATCGCTGCTGTTGGCCATTCCGCTAAACTGCAGAATAAGCGCTACGCCATAAGGAACATATGCGACGAAAAAAACTGACGTTAGAACCATGAGAAGTACGACAAGTCTCTTTTTCTCTCCCAATTCTTGTGGTGTGCTAGGTCCTTGCCCTCTGCTACAAATCGTGTTTTCAAAATACAAGCCGGAGATAATTCGGAAATAGCAGAACGCGATAGCAAGGAAGGGGATTATTGTAAGTAGGGCCATAAGACAATACACGTACACCTTCATCTCATTCATTTTGTTACCTGGAGAGCAAAGACTGTTGGAGTTGGGGCGATGATCGACCGACACAAACAGCGGCAAAACCATCGCTATAGCAACAAACCAAATGCCGACTATGATGTAAGCAATGTTGTCGGTGTTGACCCTCCGTGATGTGATCAGCGGTTTCACCAGAGCGTGGTACCTCTCTACAGCTAGAAGAGTTAGCGTCATTGTAGTTACCAGCAATGTAACCATGGTGATGTTGTTGGTATAAACAAACTTGCAAAGGAAGCTGCCAAGAGCGCCATTTGGGAAGGGGCCCCGGATCGGAATGAGGTGCATTGCCGTGAATAACAGGGTTGTTATGTCTGCGGCGGCTACGTTGACAAGAAGATAGTTGGTGGTCGTTCTCATTCTGGGGAAAATTTTGAGTACAGCAACGATGAAAGAGTTACCAACAAGCCCAACTACGATGATGATCCACACAAACACGATACGTACGATGCGCTCCGCTGAAGCTTGATGTCTTTCAGTAGAGTCGTATGCGCTTAAGATGGAACTGTTGTTGAAGTTTACAGACATCATATTTCTTCGTTTGACGGAAACTTACACCTCTGCCCTAAAGAAAAGAAAGAGAGAAGAAGCTATGAACTACATTCGAGAGCTCCCAAAATTTATGCAAACACCTGTCCTTAAACTTGTCGTCTGTCAAAACTGACCAGTTGTAAATAACATCATCCAGTGCCGTCCAGACCATAAATTTCATTGGATAATTCTAAATTGAATTTGGATGGCAGATGGCAAAAACAAAGGTTATCTCCGACCTTTTTTCTCCCATAGAGATATCAATGGAGTTCATGACAGTCCTGTTTGCTAATGAGTCCGATGAAAAATTTCCTGTCAACTGCAATGATCATTATTGGCCGAAGTCTCGTGCGTCGAAAGTAAAGTAGTGAAAATGGAGATTCTATCAACTTTAGCCGAATAGTTGAAAGTGAATTCAAAGATATTTTGATTGACTCTAGATATTAACTAGTCTCGTTTAAAATTCTCCGAAGGAGGTGGGCATATATCATCGGCGGCTTGTTTGACAGGCATTAACTTAAATAGCTATTAATACTTTCTGTCGATGGTTAAGTGAGGTATATGCCGCCATTCTATTCCACGAAGATGAAACTTAAATCGTCGTGTGAAATATGCGTTATCGGCAACCTGGTTTTAAAAAGGACAATACTGAGATTACGAGGAAGTTGCGACCGTATATACAAAAATAAATATGTTAAAGTTTATGAAAGATACTAAACCGCATTTGTTTTCCCAATAAAAATTCGGTAATTTCTAGGTTTTCGGATAAAAAATAATTTAACATAATTTACATGAAAAGAAATTCATGAGAGCTCATAACTGGGAAAAAACGACAAATAAAAGCGTTTGAACATTTTTTTTTTCTAAGGGTCGAAGCTGCTGTGATGAATTTGGAATATCCATCTATCCCAATTCTTTATGTTTGTTTTAACTTGTTTTAGAAATTACCTCTTTAGGTGGCGAAGTTACCTGCCGAGATGAAGTGACGCAGAACTTCAATTCAAATGCAATTCATGATATCTTTCGCCGCAAGTACAAACCTTTTTACAATCAAAAAAAGATAACGATGTCATTCTGCAGTAAACATTCGGCACTTCTCGTTTCCTCGCACATTTACAACTTAATATAACATTCAACTTTCGAACATAATATGAACACCTCTGACTTCAGCTGAATAGTTTACAAGTCACCGAGAAAGCGGTTTTTTCCTGATGAGCACGGGTCGAGTAAATATGTGGTATCACTCGGTGAAAATCAAACACTAGATTTACAATATTCAAACACATACCACCTGGTTGATTTTTTTTCTTCTTTTTTCCTTCCAAAGTGAATTGCTTCTTATGCTTTCCAGATGAAAGGCAAAAAATTGTCATTAATAGACTCGCGTCGGACGCTTTCATAAAGGTACTTCAAAAGCGTATTTATACTTCTCCTATTACAGTGATTAAGTATTTTTAAAATTATAGATGAGGTTCTTACTTTCACATTTAAAGATCCCAAATAAGTAATCAAGATAATATCAAATAAGGGACTGTAGATAATTTGTCTTTTCCACTTAGACCAGATGTTTTTGTGAATGTTGGTCGGTGATCCAAATTCAAATTTGATGGGAATGAGAGAGATTGAAAAGATTAAGACAATAAATTTTATCAGTGTTTTCAAGTATGCAAATGATTATATCTTCTTTTACTGTTTGTTAATCCTTCTCACCTGTAGAGAATACTCTATTGTTGATAAGATATGATGTGAAGTCAAAATTTAATCTCTGAAACACACAAACGGAAGCAACCCCCGATTGTATGTAGATTAAGCTGCAAGACTGTACCATATTCAAGCGAAAACGTCAATGTAAAAAAAATATAAACTTCCCTAACTGAATAAGTTCACATTTGCCATCGTTCAAGAAAAACAAAACTGTAGATGAACCTTAGTACTCTACATCAAAGATTCTGTTTCCGTAAAACGATATCATGTGGATTCTGCGCGTTAGGTTTTTCAAGGTTCGACAAAGTGACACCGTGACGTTTCATACCATTCAGCTATCGCCTGCACTAAGTTAATCCCTATTATGTATACTTTTGTGTTATCTATAGAACGCCGATAGTCAGGTTAGTGTTTTTTTCTCGTAGCTTAACCTTGCTGCCTATTCAAAATTTTCTGGGTCATCAATTTTACACATTCGACCCTTATCCCAAACTTGTCTTCTCTTTCGGCTTGTTATTCAAAAGCGAGGAATAGGAAAGGTAAAATTCATTCCACAGAGGGCTTGTAATAGACTGTTGGTTTCATGGTTTAAAATGACCTTTAAATTTCATCTTACCACGATTACTAATCATTTTTCATATACTTTTGTAAAGGGATAGAGACATTTGTTACCGAGTTTTACACCGAGCATTCAACTTGCTCTCTTCTTAAACAATAACTTATTTTGGTAAAAAAGAACGAAGATATTAATCAACTCTAAGCGATCTCGTGTACCCCGATAAGCAATCGTCATAAAATTTTCTTTTTAGCTGAGGTCAACTTAAAGTACTTCAGTTGTTTAAACGTACGTCGTCAAACGTTTCCGTTTTTACTGGATGCTTGTATTTACCTCGTTTAAAAATCTTTTGCCATAAAACTTTCATCTAAAAGCTCGTTATAGAGGGCTTACCCACTTCCTGATCCATAGGAGTCATTGAAGGTCAAGAACCTTTCGATCTACTGTTGAGAATTAGGGGAAAAGCTTACATATAGTAGTTATAGAGATCTTCAACCCTTCCTTGAATATTAATTACAACAATGATTATAACCAAACAGCACAAGCTGTTTTAACAGCATTGATTACTTTTCCTTGAGGAGACCAATCAGCATCCACGGAAAAATAACGGATATGTGATAAGTAAGGTGATAATGGACTAAAATCCACTTGCAGGTACACCTAATTCAATGCAACAACGGTTGTTATATGAAATTAAAAAAAAACAGAAAGAGAAAAACCCAGATTAAATAGAGTTCAAATAGCATCTGAAACTAACTTTGGCAGCCGAACGATTTTTTCAGAATTTCCACCGAAAAAAGTTTTGAAACTTCTTGAGAGTGTCAAATGTTGTTTTGAACTTTCAAGCAATACCACAAATTAAAAGATGTGTTTATGCTTGTGCCGTATGATTATGCTATATGCTAATTGTTAAAATTTGGTTTTTCCTTTTTTGCTCTTTTCTATAACAGTGTTACTGCAATTAGGTGTAACTACCCTAAGTAATGAAATATGCTAATGATTTTCTTTGACTGATGAGAGCAGACTGTTGACGAGTCGTCGTGATTCAGGCTTCGAGTTATTTAGTTTTCTTCAAGAAAGAAGTTATTTTTTCTTAAAAGGTTACTAAACGATACAAGTGACTAATCTTACGTTATTGAAATGATGGAAGGCCGGAAGAAATCACAGATTTATTTTCGTAAGGTTTAGACTCTTATACGTATTTATATATTACAATCTCTCCATTGACCAATAATTCCAAAGAGTATTACAGGGTTAGGAGCATAAGCATATTCTCCATACTGTTCTCTATACATTTCCTAACGTGCTAACAAAGAGAATATGTTTAATAATCAAGAACGTCTTTAGTTGGTGATCATTTCCTTTATTCCCGTGACCTTAATGTAATATATAGATTTAGCCAAGCCTAAAAGCGGAGCTCGCATTTTTTTTCCCACACAACTTGTCCCGGCCAGGACTAGAACCTGGGTCGTCCGACTCGGAGCCCAGTGCACTGACCACTGGACTACTGAACAAAGCCGTGGCGTTGGCATGCCCGCGGTACAGTTGACCACGCATGTCAAAAGTAGCACCTTGTACGGTCGTACGGTCGTACATCCAAATTTTTTCGGCTTGATGGGTTACTACTATTTTGTATAATTATGGGGCTACGCTCTGCGAGCTCCGCTGTGATAGAAGAGTAATATTGTAAGGAGAAATTAGATGCTTGTCACTCATAGGGATCCAGGCTTTAAGATACATAATCCGCAAGAGTTTCAGTGTTCTAGACCTTGGAAGTCGAGAAAGTAAAGAGCATTAATCTAAGATTGAGCACCGTTGCCATTTTTGCGCCCGACGTTTATTATTTGTCATCTCTGAGAGTTTTTTTGTGAGGTATCTACTTAGAGTAATTAAAACTTCTAGAGTCTGACGTGTCAAAAATTTTGTTCCCCTTTCGTCAATCATTGGCAGTTATTTTTAATTAACGGATGGCTCATGTGAACAAGCAAAGAAAAATGTCGGTTAAATAGTTAATTCAAAGCAATTTTTTTCGTGCAAAAAGGTGCCTTAACGGTTATTCAAAGTTCTTTCGATTATTTCGATTGGGGGGGGGGGGATATGTCCAATCAGGTATAAATCTTGAAACTAAAGATTTTGTCATCGAACGTCATAAACACAGTGTTCCGAGCAGCCTTGCTTACTGATTTAAAACCCCCAAACTTTACCTCGACTGATCCACACTTTGATGATCTTTACTCGGATGATCGTAAATTGTTCATAATTAATAAGGATACTATCGGTCATAACAAAAAATAATAATTTTTTTTAATAGCATTTTATTTCTAACACAAGCGTTTTGCTGAACAATACTATTTAATTCCTTTGCAGACAGTCACTTCTACGTAACCTGTAAAAAGACATAAGTAAATTCCATAAACACTTGAAATAAAAAAAAAATGAGATCAAACAAACGGGTTAAATACTAAAGCTAAAGATCTAATTAACCCTTTAACTCCCAAGATCTGATTGTTAATTCTCCCCTCTAGCTCTTACACATATCCTTGTAAATTAGTTACGAGAATTTGGTGTAAGATCAAGATGACAACTTCTACCTGATAAGTTTGAATACTCTCATTACCTGTTTGCTGGATAATGTAAAGCTATTATAGGGAGAAGTTTCACGTTAATTACTTGTGGGATTGAAAGGGTTAATGAAATTTTTTACTGGCGTAGTATAACAATGTTAGTTACATCCACCCCCCTCCCTTCCTATTTAAAATCATTCAAAACACCCCTTTGATGTTTCATTGATAACTAATCACGCCTTGGATAGTTTTCAGAGCTTTTTTAGAGAAAAGTATCAAACAAGTGATCTAACGAATACTATTAACGTGTTCCTAGAAAAAGGGAAGACTCGTTTAATAGTAGGACACATAAGTTATTCACGTGGTTTTCAAGTTGCTTTTGTAGCACGTATCTGTATTTCCATGTACCTCTGTTTCCACAAATATTATGTCGTTTTGCTAATTTGGGTTTCTGACAGAGATACTTGATTCATGTATCTATTCAAAAGAACCTTTTCTTTTGTGTATATCCAGAAGTTCTAGTAAAGGAGAGTTGTATTGAGTATGGGAAAGCATTTTTCTTACAATAACTGCCGTTTTGGGATCTCCATTTTCGTAAGATTTCTCGTTCATAAGCTAAAAAGGCGTGTTAAAGTGATACCTTATTAGCAGAAGTTGCAAGTCGCTCTGCAATGTTCTCTCATGTAGTTCTTTATCTCGTTGCACCTGTCCTGGTAATTTACACAATCATCTCTCTTGTCAGCGCAAAGAGCTATTCGAGTTTCATAAAAACACAGAGAAACATATCAATTTAGTACAGCATGATTGACTTTTTTGTTTTTCTACTCGGAGATAACTCTTTACTAGCTGTTTCCGCCCATAAGCGGTGATCATGTGGAACTATGGTATATTGGTTTATGACTAGAGTGGTTAGTTCGATTTGCATAGACGTTAACAAACTATGGTAATAAATTTAAACTTTGCAAAGGATCCTTTATTAGACTGGTATGCACGCGGTCCTTAAACTATCTGAAAAACCAGAATCGAAACTCTACATTAGCCCTTTAGGGCGTCAATGAGCTGAAGGTAAAAACGGCATAATAGATTGTCAATCAAGGGATGCAGCCGTGGAAAACTGTTTCGACCTGGTTGTCATGCATGAGTCTCATCTTCTGGGTGTAACAGCGAGAAACAGAGCTACAAGGGCACAGGCCAACTGCCTACAAAATGCACATCGGCAACAACCACAACTGTAACTCAAATCTAGAATAATTTTTGAAATAATCATTATGAATGTTCTTTAATAAACCTGTAGCCAATCAGATGGCACTGGGAGGCCTTGCAAAATTGCCATGCTTTTTTTCGTTGTAGCAATTTGGTTTGAAAGTAATGTTTTAAAAGACTGGATGTTTCTGCCCAAAGAGCTTTAAACTTTGTAGACATCATGTGACCCATAAAACCATTGTTAAATGATAACATGAATAATCAAATAAAAGGAAACATAAATGAATTCGCTCGGTAAAGAATTAATGCTAGTCTCATAGTCACTCAATGTTAGTTTCCGGAGAAAACATTACCTCCACCTCCAGAGCCTGAAATAGAACGAGAAACACAACAGTGGTAAATTCAGACTTCTTCTAATGAAAGGATTGTGGGAGATAAATATTCCAGAGCATCTTATGGAAGATAGGGCTCTCTTCCTTCGGTTACAACACCTTTCATTCAACCAGGTAATTTAGTGTTAACAACTGAGTTGAAAACGTAAATTGGGCACCGTAAAGAGTTAAAAGCCTGACGTTTCGAGCGTTAGCCCTCCGTCAAAGCGATTGGAGGAATTTTGGGTAGTGTGTAGGTTTATATGCAGAAAATGGAGCTACGATATATTCCCACCAATAACGTAGCTCCATTTTCTCCACCGACGCAGCACCACAGTTTCTTTAGAAACTTACCACCTTTTTCATTTAACCAACCTACCTTTGATTTGGCTTTCTTAGTGTGTCAGTTAAAAGAGGGATGATGTCTCAGTAATTTTGATCCGAAGGAACCTCTAAACAAATGGATGGATTTTCAGTAAATCTGTAAGTCTTTCACGCAGGAAGCTGCTTTTTCAATGATTTGTCTTTTAAAAAGTGGTTCCTCTTTTTTTCAGCTGGCAGGTATAATGAGATCTATACACAAGTTCTGGACTATCTTTTTCAAAATCGGGAGATTAAATAGCAAAACTTACCATAAAGTGATTGAATGCCAGAAATATCATCACTGTGAAGCTTCAAATCAGGCTTGTATCCCAGATAAGCCGGGTACATCACCGCATCTCGCACGCTGGAATGCCTCAGACCAAGATTGTGTCCAATCTCATGAACAGCAACGTACAACAAATTGGTTCCTTGTTCAGAGAGGTCGGTGAAAGTTTCTTCTTCATCAAAATGGAGTCGACCATCAGATGGCGCGAATGCATGCGCCAGAACACCACCTTCTCCATCAAAAGGGTAACCGCACGTGTTTTCTTCTGAAGTTCCTTCGTGAGTTCTTGGGCCAAAACTATGGTTGAATAAATACAATCGGAGCACCATGGATAAAACTTTTCCACGTTTGATTTAACGACAAGGATTTTTCGTCTGAATCATCCCAAATGTCACGTTTGCGAAACGAATTGTCTGGTAGAAGCGACCTGGTTAGCACCGCAAAACATTGCTTACTTTATTTTGTTTTGTAAAATCAACAGCAACTATAGCATCACAAAAGGATTGATGTAAAAAATATTTTGGCTACTGTCTTTTGTTAAAGTTTACACCGATATAAACTTTATTTCCTAAGCTTAGTTCTGCAACTGGTTTTTATCTCAGGGTCACAATCCTCCCCGTTATTTCCCACATTTCAGTTTTTGGTCATTATTTCTTTAACTATTTCTTTTGACAGGAATACTTTTATTCGATTTAGCCAATTTAGACTTAAAAATTCGTATTCCTTTCAGACAAATCTTGCATATCCTTCGGCATAGAGAGATTTCCAACAATGAGCTCTGAAAACTGAAAGAGAAGGGGGTGATAGAAATCGTTCACGCTAAAAGATAGTTTTGGATTGGTCACTTGCGGAGAATAATATTGAAATGTATAATAAAAAGAGGCCGTCCCAAATCAACCTAAAAGGGCACTGCGGATACAGACATAGGAATCTAAGAGAAGAGTAAGCTTCGTGGCTTGCTAAGGACTACCTGAAAGCTTTCTGGTACCCTTTACGCCTTTGGACCGACATTTATAGACAGAATGTCAGGAACCTCATGCAGCTTACCTCATTTTCAAATCTGCCTGGCTTGGATGACCAACGCGCGAAAACGTTAGCGGAGACACCTCACTCCAATACTGCAAGGCACGTTCGATTACTCGGTTTTGTGTTGAACGCGGCAGATCCTGGCCGTGTTGGAGATAATAAGTCAGGTGCGTTTTAGACCATTTGGAGCCAAAAACACTGTACCGCCTTCTACGAGTTTTGAAAGCACCATCTTCGACATCTGCTACACCACACCGTGGTTTTCTCATCATTTTTATTGTGGCTCCGTCGACATTCCCAGTGACTGGTAAACCCATGAAATGTTGAAAATTCCTGATTGCTATGTTAAAGTCGTAGTTTCCAGAGCGTGTTGGAGATATGTAATGGTAGGCTCGGAGGTATTTCTTAATTGAAAAACGATACACTCAATATAGAATGGGCAGAATATCATATAACTGTGTAGCCGTGTAACGATGCTAAAAAAGACAAGTTAATATCTCATTATCGTCCGTTTCCTTTCTCTCTAAATATAATTACGGTTGTTTGAAAATTGTCTTTCAAGAGTAATATTACCTTACGTTATGAACAAAGCAAACTGAGATCGTAAATTTTTTCCAAAAAAAATTAGATGAAAATCTTTGGAAAGACGGTTAACTTTAGCGAAGCATCAAATGTTGTACAATGTAATAGTTTGGAACTCTTCACATCTGAGCAAAGTTACTTACATATGCCTCTTCTTCATGGGATGCAGAGACAGCAACAAACGCCACAAATAAGGCTGGTAATAGGACTCCAAGCATCACTATGCTTTGTAATTCTCTTAATATTAGATATGTTCGAAAACGATTCGTATGCGCATACGAAGCAATGTTAAATGAACAACTGAGATCGCTTATTTCTTTTATAGCTGACGAAAACAAATTTTGATAAGCAAATATTTTTGTTTCAACAGAGCAGCAAGACAAACATGACAGTTCCCCGAGGGAGAAGAGCTAGCAAGAATTTTCGTGCGCCAAACAATCACCACTGTGCGAGCGCATTAACGTTGACTTTGAAGAAACAGGAAATAGGGCACAATGTAGGTGTCACGCATATTGCATGACACGAGAGTCCACGAATGTATACTTTATCTTTCCCTCTGTAGACTCTTGTTTTAACAGGCACTTCCTCAGTCTTGCTTACAGATAAGTTCTGCATTTAAAGACGTCAATGCAGCAGTTGTGCAAAAAAATGTAAAAGGTGAAGAAACAAACCCAGGTGCTTCCTAGCATACGTTCCTACTACATGAGGCAAGCGTACAACATTTGTTTATTAATGTTATCCATCAGACTACATACAGCTGCCTTTTCTATAAGAAAGGGCTATTCTTTGTCAATAAATCGTACGATTCGTGGACACATATAGACAGCTAAAAAACCAAAATTGAACAGATGATTTAACCAGAAAACAGGATCATTACCTTGTTTCTGTAGCATGGAACAGTGCAGTCATTACCAGGTCCCTGCTTCGACTCTCAGCAGTGATAGCCGACTTTGAGGGATAATTCCTAGAGGTAAAATGAATCAAAGACTTTTTCTGAGGCAGGAGACACGACTTTTCATGGATAATTGTTAAAAAAACACAAATGATCAATTTTGACCAAAGATGAGATATTTTTTAGCACACGTCTTCTCTTGTATAGAGTTCGAACAAACAAAGATGGGTTTAATTCTCGCCCATCTAGATTTCCTTTTCTTAAAACGATAAGAAATTACCAAGAGGTGAAATCTTATAATCTCACAGCTAGGATTACTCATGAATTAGGCATAGGTATATTAACAGTGCTCCTATCGAACAAAATAATTTGAGAAGTTCATGGTTTACTAAAGAACCAATCGTAAGTCAATCAGGGTTACTTTGGAATGGCTGTCTTATACCCCATTCACACCAGCAAAACATGTTTTGTTAAACTGGTTTTCATTGAATGAAAATTATAAACAGAGAACTGAAAAACTTGATTTTCCATTGGATTCAAGTACTTGCTAACTTGCATTTATGTCACATTGTCAAAAATATTCGGTTAAATAGTTTCTATGAAGAAAAAAAAATTAAACTGTGTTTAACAAAACAACTTTTAAACATGTTTAAGCTTTGGTGTGAATGGGGCATTAGTTAGTAACATATTCCGTATCAATTGAAGAAAAAAGAAGAACAAAAGAAAAGACAATTCATCCCTGTCACACCTGAAACCTTAGCTCGCTTCGCTCCCGCAGCCCGAAAAACAAATTTCTTAACAGTTCTGGAATATTGATTTTGAAGGAGAAAGATTTTTGTTGAGTCAAAGATACAGTTTTTATCGATAAAATTCGAAAAATTCGCTGGCTAACAACATTTTGAGAGCTGTCCTGTAGGTTTCTATTGACGAGTATGACATTACTCCTCTAGTTCCCAATGCAAAGTCTGACTTTTCATTCTCCGCTCCAGCCGTCTCACACAACATGATGCATCACGATAGCGTCTTCTACCAAATAAGTTTGTGTTTTCTCGTTACTGTTTTGCTGGATAATGTATGGATATTAAAGGGAGAAGTTACAGGTTAATCACTGTAGGAGTGAAATGGTTAATAATGGAGGATACAATGGATAAAAACCATTCTTCGTTTCTTTGCCCTATAGCTTAAAATTTCACAGAGCACCTGCATTTTCAAATTCGCACTTCACTTAATTAAAGAATGCACATAATTTTTCAAATACGACCAATTCTTAATACATTTGATTTGGCGAACAATTTCTTAAATTCGACAAATTTTAACCATTTAGCTTATATTCATCCAATCAAGGGAACTTAACTCCGAAATATAATTATGTGCGCGGTTTTAAATAACTTAAGATAATTGGGCTCAAACTTTGTCACATTTTCATCTCAGCTTCGAGGTTATGCAAATGAAAGATCAATCGGCTTAAAATTTTTCGAAAACTCAGCTTTTCCAAGTTTAGGACAGGATGATATATCGTTACCACTTTGGAATTGCGTAAGGTCTTTTGTTCGTCCAGTTTCCCAGCACGTCACTTGCCCACTTAAGAGAGTGGGTTCTTAATTCACTAAATTATAATTATATATAATGGACTTTCAATAATCGGCAAATAATTAATTTTTTTAATTATTTCTAAGCGAATGGTCATTATTTATCGCCGGAGGGGGTGGGAGTGGGGGGTCAGGAGATTTAGGTTGTGTCAAAATACAATTTACCCAATCCCCTCCTAGGGCTCTCCAATATACTTATGATTCCCCCTAATTAGCTGTCAATTTTCTTTAGTCCCCTCTTGTTAGCGATGACTGATCCCCACTCTGTTCCCCCTAAAAACCATATACAATTTACCCAATCCCCTCCTAAGGCCCTGCAGTATTCTTATGATTCCCCCTCATTGGCTGTCAATTTTCTATAGTCCCCTCTTGTTAGCGACGACTGATCCCCACTCTGTTCCCCCTAAAATCCATATAAGCCCCCAAAAATCCACAGACTACCCTCCTTCCCACTCCAGGTGATATTTAAATAGTGACTGATTTCTAAACGATTTAGTTATCCGTTGGTTTCAGTGTTGGTTTTTTTTTCTTTAGTGAGAAATGCTAAAAATAATCCTCTCTGAGTCACTCATGAAATGAGATGACATGGATCAGTCGTCCTTTTAGAGAGTTCTTCATTCAGTGAGGGTAGCAAAGTTAGGTACTGCCGACATTGTGGTAAAGTGCTAAAACAGTATGCAAACTGAGATACTGGAAAAGAAGCCATATATGAAGCCAGATATTTATTCCTTTATGCCAGATATTTATTCTTTTTCAATTTACATGATTGATAGGTTTCATTTTATCTTCGTTATTCGTTATCAAAGCTTAGACTAATCATATCATTTTCTTGTTGTTACGCGATTCAAGTCTGCTCCTCTTACGGCCGCTCGTCATTGCAAGGAGCCGTTCTACTTTGCGCTGTCATCGGGGTCACGAAATTCCCTCTTTGCCAGGCCCTCACAGTTCAATGATCTAGCTGCAGCACAAATCTCCCTCGTTGCACGTTTCATCTAAAAAACATCAAATACACTGCAGAGTGATTAAACGTCAAAAACGATAATGTTTATTTAATATTTGGAATTTCGTTGCCGAAACATTTCTAGGTCAAGAGGAAATTTCTAGTGCTCTAAGACCATGAGATAAAGAATTTAAGACAAGAGAAATGGTAAACCAGACCACCAGAGTTTATCACAAGTGACCAAGACAGATTTTCTTCTTACCATTCGTTGATCTTCTACCAACTTCTCCATACTAACCTCATAAGAATTGTATGGCAGACAGTGAGGAGAATTACTAAATGAGATCTTGATAGTGGGAGGGTTAAGCATGAAGCGACTAAAATTTTTGTTACTCTCCTTGAGTAGAATGCTTTTGAATCAACGTCAACCGTAACAATTTCACAGGTTTCACCCTCAATTCGCTAAGAACCGATTTCTTGATGAAGTGAGAACCGTGAGCCTCCCTCAATACCGTAGTGGTTTGAGCGAAGTAAAGCCATGGACTTTGACTCCGTAGTCTTCCGTGATGATTATTGGGCAAAGGTGTCCATTGTTATAGTCTATGACACAATAATTGTCGGGAAAGGTCAATTTCTCAGAAATCTAAAAAGGAGGCGGCCTTATGACCTTCGAATTATCACTTTGAATGCTCTGCCCCTGAACAAATATCCACCTCAAGCTATTTACCAGATAATAAAGGTTTCTTATTTCTTGTAGAGTAAACATTTTTTTAAACGTATTTGGGTTACTGGACTAACCTCAAACTCTCTCCTTTGGTGTTTTGTTACAAAACAAGTTGCCTGATCAACCAGGAGAGCAGCGATGAATAAGATACCCAACAGAGCAACAATTTTTTCAGATGTTTTCATCGTCGCTCTAGAGTGTAGATGATCGACTCTTCGTTTACCTCGCCCTTCTGTTATGATAAAAAAGATATCAGCTTTTATATGTTCCTACCATTTTAGAAGATAAAACCACAACAATCTTAGATCATCATTTATTTATACACGATGACTTGTGATCGAGTTTTTTCCTCTTGTCTTTTAATTAAAGAGCGTTTTTGTGGGAAAAATTGTATCTGGTTGTTAAAGCATTTACAGTTCATGACTATTTCATTTGACAGCACCATTGTTAGGATACTGAGTTCTTGGGTATATTTTCTTCTTATTCCTTCTTCTGAAAATCTTAATTTAAATGGTACCAGTATTTATTGCCGCATACTTTGATCAAAATATCAGATTGAGAGCTGAAAGGTGAATAAAGATATTCATACACCTATTGGTTAACTGTTTTCACGTTCACTGGAAATTCATATAAAAGCACTGTCACGAAATGTGGAAAAATTCATAAATGACCGTCTTGTTTGTTTGACACTAAACCAATTTAAGACCTGAAATGGCGGAAACCTAAAAGAAAATCTTTAAATGTGACACAAACAATTAGTGTATGAGCTTAACTACAGACAGTTTTAAGTTCGGTTTCGTGTCTTGCTACGCCCGAATGTTTGAAATTGTTTGTAAACACCCAGAAAAAGAAGGTTCTGGGAGAAGACATGCAACTGAAAATAATTAATTGTTATCTTTACTATAATAATTTATGAGCCCATTAAATACAAAAAGAATAATCAAAACCTAAGTCATTCATTAATGGTTCACAGATTAACCTTCGCATGGCCAAAATTCATTTTATCTCTTCTGCCTTTCCTATTTCGTTATTATTTGACTAAGATGAATGAGAAAAGCAAGGAGAACTGAATGGTCAAAAATTAAGGGTGTTTTTGACAGGAATGCGACAAGAATGTAAAGTTCGCCTTGCAAAAGGTAAAACTAATCTTTTTTATTCTAGCATACCAGTATTTTATCTGTTTTGGCGACATGTTCCACAAATTTTAATAAAACCAAACGACTAAGTGCTGATTAATGGATAATATTCCTTTATCTTACATTCTAATTGATTCACCATTTAGTAATAAATAACTCTTGAGAAAACATCAAAGCATTGCAGTCAGAGTAACTCAAGCAATTACTCACCTGTTAATGTCACGCAGCGTAGGTTGTACAAGAGGCAAAAGAAATGTCATTACTTATTGAATATTGCAGCCCCTTGAAATCGTTTCAACACTCTGTTTCTCTCTTTCTTTCCACAATAATCATTGAAGAAAGAAGGTTTTATAGTGCGAATAAGAAGAGAGTTGAAGGTGGGTGCATGTTCCCTTTGCTATGGCAAAATCGAAAACGGATTTTCGCCCTTTCTTTCGACAGTAACTTGTAAGCAGAAAATATTTTCATCTGGCTTTCATCAACCATTTATGAGAAACAAAATGGATGAACGCAAAAGGGGCTTTCATTACTTTGACAACAACAATGCTAGTTCACTATACTGCCATGTTAATCTTAAAACTGATGAGCAGAATGTGGCTATGACAATCAAAGGGGTTACATAGCTAGCCGTGGCCAAATATTTATCTTTAAAAAGCTTAAAAAATCTTCGAAGAATACAGAAAAATTGTACAGTAATGAATAAATGCAAATTGGCGATCTCTATCGAGTACATCTGGTCCTCGCTTGTTGATTATTAACCATACCGTTCCTCCATAAGAAGAAAGGTTTGTGCTTTCTAGATGGAAATATTGACTTTGAACTGAAACGACCCAGCAAAGCGAATAAGGATTAAAATTCCTCAGTCAAAATCTATTCTTAGAAAAGCAAGCCACTACCAAACAGAAACCTCACATTTCAACCTTGATCTTTATTAGCTTTATTCCATGTGTTTAGCACTATGATATCCCAACACCTGGTTTTCTCACAATCACTATAATCAAGATCCCTCGTTTTCTATTCATCAACGATTAATACATCTGTCGATCGGCTATTTGCGTTTCTTCACGATCCTGCAATAAACAATAGACATAAACAACTGATCGGCCAAATAAAAAAAGTTCTAAACGCCGAAATATGAAAAAATATTCCTCGTGGCCGCCTTTCAAATTTTGATCGAGCAAAAGGGGGTCTATGATCGGAAAACAACGAATCAGATACAGAGATTTCGGTTAATTCCTTTTAAGAACTCCTTTATAGCTTTGCTAGCTTAAATTGGTCTAAAAAGTTAATAGAAATGCTACAGTTGTCTCATATTAGTTGTGATCGTAGCAACATGATAACTTTTTTGTTCATTAGAGTTTTCTTAAAGTGTAGTCTTCTGAGATTTGAAGTTTTCATAATAGAATGTTTCTTATATCTGACATTTGCTCACCACAAGGGTACTGTATGCCATTGATATCATCCTCATGTAAGTCGGGATTTCCTATGAGAGCATAGGGCCGCATGACGGCGTCTTCATTGTCAGAGTGATCCAGTCCTAAGGTATGGCCGAACTCGTGCAAAGCAACATAGCTCAAGCTTCTGTAAGTCTTCGACGTCCCCCACCACGTAATGGTACCGCCACTCTCATTGAAAAATTCATCGTCATCAAAATGGACTCTACCGTCTTCAGGGAAGTACGCATGTCCAAGGACACCTCCCTTTCCGTCGAAATCTTAACAACAGTCTTGCTCATTAGTGACACCAGCATGAGAGTAGGATCCAAAGCTTTGAGGGAAAAACATTACTTTAGCAAGGGAAAAGGTAACTTCAACGAAAGCCCTTGGCTAGATATTCGCAACGGCTCATTCCTTCATCACTATCAATATCACTAACATCATCTTGAATATTATTATTATTATTATTAATATTATCGTTTGAACACAAAGTGGTCCAACCTTATCCTTATATCGGCATTGTCGTAGTCATCTGTCCATGTAAACTGAAGACTTGAAGCAGCACCAACCCATTTGTCTAAGGCCTCCTCGATAATCCCGTACGGGATTTGAACCCATGACCTCTGCGATACCGGTGCAGCGCTCTACCAATTGATATTATTCATATATTATTCACATAGCTGCGAGGATCTCCTAATTTCATCTTTCCACCGCAGTGCAAATATGTGAATTTTCATATATCTAAAATCTTCATTCACTTGGATGTTTATTTGGACCCAATTCATTGACCAGCTCCCAGTTGGCTTGTTAGCTCAATTGGTAGAGCGCTGCACCGGTATCGCAGAGGTCATGGGTTCAAATCCCGTACGGGCCTGAAATTTTTTTCAGGTCCTATTTACAACTACTCGTTTCAGTAGTATTCTTAGCTGCGAGGATCTCCTAATTTCATCTTTCCACCGCAGTGCAAATATGTGAATTTTCATATATCTAAAAATCTTCATTCACTTGGATGTTTATTTGGACCCAATTCATTGACCAGCTCCCAGTTGGCTTGTTAGCTCAATTGGTAGAAGGCTGCACCGGTATCGCAGAGGTCATGGGTTCAAATCCCGTACGGGCCTGAAATTTTTTTCAGGTCCTATTTACAACTACTCGTTTCAGTAGTGTTCTTAGCTGCGAGGATCTCCTAATTTCAGATATATCATAACTGGGAAAACTGTGTACAGGTGTACAGCGAAGAATATTCTGGTCATTTGTTTTTCAATCTCAGTTACACCAGAAGGTATCCGGTGACCCTGCAGTTGCACTTGAAATGACTTTTGCTGGCGTGTATCTTATTAAACAATAGAAATATTCTGAATCACAATGAACACACAAGATTTCTACATTTTTCCAAAAGGGAGAGAACCTGGTCTAAGTACTGTTGCAAAAATTGCAGCGTTGAGATGGTTTCAAAATATTGGCTGATTTAAACGAATCGAATTAAGTAGAATTTGATACAAAGATCAATGTTTTCAAATTTTAGCTATCAACTGTCTTTTGAATAGCTTACTACTCCACATAGATGACTATTCAACCAATAAGTTACTCGGATACTGAGAGTTTGAGCGACTTTGCAATACAAGTTTGTCAAAATGCATATACAAGCGTAGTAGGTTGGAGATAGAAACGAATCTAAGAAGTGCCATAGTGGCACACATTTCTATACCTCAAAGTTTTCCTCTTCTCTCGCAATTCAACGAACAATCATCTACCAAACACATAACCTCTTATGATTATTTCTAGAGTGTTAGAACTTGATGAAGATTTTTTTAAAGCTTTTTAGTCATAAATAACTCTTTCGATCAGAAAAATTGCTGTTGAAAACTTAATGAGGTAATAAAAATGATAAAAAAGTTCCACTTGCCACCTTTAGTTACGTGTAAGTTAAAACATTTTCAAACACATGATTCATGTTTGTCTCGTGTTTATTCCAATGAAAATGTTTTTTCAAATGGTGTGGATGTAGGAAGAACTTAAGTAAGTTGTCATTACCCCTTCATTCGTGGGATCATGTCGCTGGAATTCTTATTATCGTACGTACAGAGATTGTTTAATTAAGAATGATGTTCTAAGCACATAGTTGACAGCCGCGGTATGAGTGAAATATAAGAGGCAGGCTCTCGATTTCGGATTGCCGATGCAATTTCTGTTGTTGTATAACGGTCAGGAAGTTTCCCTTCCTTTCGGGAATCGCGCTGTTGCTCCTTAACAAATTCCTCCCCTGGCCACACTGAAGCTAGATTCTCGGCACTGCTGTAAGATCTCTTAACTATAGTATTTCGAGAAAGAAGGAAGTAAAATTGCGTCAAGTTGTAAGTTGAAAACAAAGTCCTTGTAAAACTTAATGTTACTTAGAATGATTTCAAATCACACATTCAAATTTTTCCAAATTAAAGCTCAAAAAGCAACAGGAACTTTTTGCCTTCAGCAAAGGCACCTTAAAATTCTGTTGTGATTTAGAGGTATATCCCAGTATAGAGGATCTCAACGGGGTGACGGCTTTTACGGTTAACAGTTCAAATTTTGGCTATTTTTTGGCTAACGTTAAATTTCTTTCCATTGTGATCAAAACAAATAATTTTTACGGTTAACTTTTTTTACGCCTAACGG